TTGGCACAGAAGCCCGTAAGTCAAAGAGTCGCGGCTGGGGCTGCTTTACGACGTGATGGGAACTCTTGATTAATTACCCCCCCCCCCCCGCGCAAGGGCCGTCGCCGGTCTCCGGCTAGATTTTCGCTCTCTGGTACAGTAGCGCTTAGTGCGACTTTAGTATTGACCCCAAACCCTCAGCAGTCAAGCAAAAGCAATAACAAAACACGATTGTTCTGCGGCGTCCGGATTACTAATCAGGGGGGGTTGCCTTGCCTGGGCTCGGCCTTGGCAGGCTTGAAAAACTGAGTGTTTTACATACGCCTTTGATTTAAAATTTGTTGCTTGGCCACCTCTGGAATTTCTCACTCCAGCCTTGTTTATAATGTTTAGGCTTGCTTACCCTTCAACCCCCCTGAACTTAACCCCTAGAGCCTAAACCCTAAACTGCAAAGGTGAACAGGCAGTCATCAGAGAAACGCCACCCATGTAGAGGCTCACCCATACCGTTGACATGCCTTCAGAGACTGTCCTAACCACCCCCAAACCCTGAACTCTGGACCCCAACCTGCCCCTCAAACCCTAAACCTCTAAACTCACCACCCTAAACCCCTTCTATCTGCAGACAAGTTGGTTTTTGGAGATGCTTGGGGCAGGGGGGGTTTTGTTTTGTTTTTGCAAGGGGGGGGGCTCTGGTGGAAGAGGCCAGCGCCTGTTAAACATGGTTTCAACCAGGTCCGAGGCCCGCGCGGGATGCCTTTACTCACGGGGGGTTTATTACTTAAGAGTTGACATTGACATATGCTGTGCCTAATACTACCCATAGGTTCAATTGGTGTCAACTGCACCGTTTCGCAAGTCCTGTGCTTTGCATGCATTGCGGAATCACAAAAGAATCTGCGTGATGGAACCTGACTTGACGGGGGAATCCTTTCCGAAAACCGTCGCTCAGATGATGCGCGCCGTGCGCATGTTGTTGCAGTGCGTGTCGCGCAGGAGTTGCAAGCCACACGCAAAACGCAACAGTGTCGCGCAGTCGAGTGCGTTTTGCATTATGTATGCATTTGTTCTCGCCACCCGCGCGTTCAAGCACACATTGTAGTTTCAGGAAGGGACGAAGTTGCGAACAGCAGCTTCAAACTCGAAGTGAAAATTGCCTTCATGTGCACGGCTTCGGCAGTTCTTGAGAAGCAAGCGCCAATTAGCCCCGTTTGGACACTCCAACGTCAGGTGCCTATGTTTCTCAACCCTTCTCAGTGATGCTGTCCTCGTTGGCTTCATTGCGCCTGGGAAGGTGTTGGGTAATTTCGTTCACGGTGCGGCATGACATGGCATGACGCTGGTTTTCACGGCCGTAATGTGATGGTCAATGTGGCGATGCTTGCACAAACAAATTCTCTGCAAATGTGAGGTATTGCTGCTATTGGAGCAGCAGCTCGATTGCTTCAGCGAGTTTTGGTCGGATACCAGTAGTTGCACCAGTGTTACGACTACCATGTCAAGCAACTGGCTTCCGAAGACCGCTGCCCTTTCGCTGCGCCCGAGGCATCTCATCACGATCAAATACCAGATCCCCCAGGCGCTCTTCGCCCTCGCCGAGTACTCGTCTTTCGTCCTCTGGCCCAGAACCAGGGGGCATGAGTCAGCATGAGGGAGCAACACCGGGGCCCAGCGGCACGATGATATAGCGTTTGTTGCGACATCTCTCCACCCCCGACAGTTCAGGCAGTCTACTTGCTTTGGCCTCTTGCGTGGCGCAAGGAGGCGAGCTCACTCTGCCCGACGGGGTAGTTGATTACACCAGACTTTTTTGAGTCCCCCAAACCGTGTGTGGATAGGCCCTTAGGCTTCGGTGAGTTCCAGCCGAACTTGTGTGTAGTTTGCGCAACGGCTGCCAGGTCCGGGATGAGTGGCAGATGCACAAGGCAGGTCTGGGCTTAGGCTGAAGCGTTAGGTTTTTGAGGGAAGCTGCCGGCCGAAGCCCCGTGGCCCACTGTCATGTACAATGTACCAGGTCTGGCGCATCTCGAAGCCGATCCAGATGGCTTGAAGACGAGGTCCGCACCTGATCCAATGGACGGCTTAAAATTGACCGACCAAGGATCTCGCTGTGTGGCTTGTTGACACAGAGGGTTGCAGATTACGTGGTCTGCGTCAGGTTCTGACGTAGCCATAGTTGCACAGTGATTGCTGGACGGTAGTTGGATCACACTGGGATGCGATGCTGCGGCACATCTTATGATCTGCACCATGATATGGGACGGTGTGTTCCCGATTACTTTTACTCCAGCATTGCTTTTCTGAAACCCATTGGGGCATCTCGGCTGTTCTCGGGAGAAAATGGGGCTTCGTCAACACTCCTGTTGCTCTTGTACTTTTTTCCGGCCGCATCGAGCGCACAGGAACAGAAGAAATTGCTCTCATCACTCATCACCGCCACATGTCAGTGTCGGTTCAGCAAGAGGAGCAGAAGCAGCAGGAGCAATATCATGCTGTGACTGCAGTACGCAGTCGTAACCAAGGTCGCAGTAGCAGTCGAGTAGTAGAGCGCCAGGGCAGGAGGAACAGTAGAGCAGTGGAGCTGCAGCAGAAGGAGCAGGAGCAGTAGTAGTAGTCGTCGTCGTGGTGGTGGTGGTGGTGGCAGTACTAGCAGTAGTACCAGTAGTAGCAGTAGTACTAGTAGTACTAGTAGTACTAGTAGTACTAATAGTAGGAACAGCAGTAGCAGTAGTAGTAGCAGCAGCAGCAGGAGCACTAGCA